ATTAGCTGGGCTGGGAGTGTATCAAACTGTTTGTTTGGTTTTTGAAGCACATCAAACCTGTATCATTTTTGTTCAGGTTGGTATGATTGGTCCCTTTGCAGTAGCAAAGTAAGGTGTCCTGGTGTATAAAAATTGCTCTTGTCAGCTCCTGTCAATGTGGTTTAGTTTATTTTTGTTCATCATAAAGTTCCAGAGCTATTTTGGTATCTGAAGAAAATTTATAAAATTTCCTATGTGAATAATGCCTGGACAAATCAAAGAAATAGTTGACTTGTAAGTGCAAAGACATTGGAAGGTGCTATATGTTACAGTTGTATGTGATAAATAAATACTGTCTTTTTATGCAGGTTTTTACTTTAAGGCTGTTCATTTGGTATAATATGGGATTGGAAATAATGAGAAATACCAACAGTGATAAAGACAGTTTCTCCTGAGAGGGTTTCACGCTTGTTTACACGCATCCTGACTAATCTGGTTTGGTCCAGTGAAATGAGCAAGACTGAAGTGATTGTCTGCCAGTTCATGAAGCATCTGCTGCTCAGGTGTTGAGATCATGAATTAGGTGCTTGACTGAAATTTGTATGTTGAAGTGCTGTACTGAGTTGACTGATACCATCCTCCTTCCAACACACCGGGGTTGGTCTTCTTTCCCTGTTGCCTACCCTACTGTGTTACTGCATGATTTATGGAGTAAAAGGAGTTAGTCATCTGCTCTAGAGTGACTTTCAGCTGTAACTTCCAGTCACCTGTTGGTTTCTCACTATGATGGTAGGAAGGGGAAACTGAAGCAATGCTCAGAGAATTCTAACTATCAGATCCTTGTCTCTACAACTGCATCTGCACATATGTTCAAGTTTCTGGTACACTATAAACCTAGGAGATTAAAAAGGGTGTTTGTAATTCTCTCAGTACTGGACTGTAATATACACCAGAATGCTAGAGATTATAGAGGTAAGTAAGTGGATGTTGCATGTTCTTGTGTCTGCATTCCAGTTGCACAAGTGTCCTCAAAGATAAATTAAGCTAACATTCAAAGTCTGATGTAGGTACCGCAGACAATATGCTAATACTGTTCTTTGTATCACTGGAATAATGTAGGTTGAACGCAACTGATGAGAGATTGCACAAACTATATGTAAAGAGCTGTCATTTAATTGTCTAACTTTCTCGAATTCCAGTAATCTTGAAATGTATATTTTAATTTTAATGTGTTCCTATGAAAATATTTTTAGAGAGATTTCCCCTGCTCCCTTCTGCATGTTTAAGAAGGGTTTTTCTACAAGTACAATAACTGTCTAACCCATTTACTATCTACGTTTTTCTAGATAGGAAAAGATAAGCAATATGTGGAGTACTATCAAAACATGAAATTTTTTTTATTATTATTATATAACTTCCATCTGTAATAGTGATTTGGGGTGCTAATTTTGACTCCAGAAGCATAATTTTCCAACTGATACGGTCTGTTATTTCAATAAATACATAAGAAAATGTATCTGCAAATCCCCATGTGTTAAGAGGGAAAGACTTCTACTTCAAAAGGAATGGAACAAATCTGTTAGAAATGAGCTTCATGTTCCTAGCTTAAATGTGTACTTAAGTTCTTGCACGTACATTTGGCTAGAGTTTGTGCTATCTGTCTCATCTGATTATATTTGAGCAGCCAAAGATATCACACTGCCACAGCCCATGTGCAAAGCGGCACCTGCATCTAAGTTGTAAGTCTGGAGAAAAAGTTTTGCAAAATTGCTTTCAGAGATTTGGCCTCTCAACTCGTCAGATTACTGTTCAGAGCTCTAGGACTTGTGGGAAAGCTTTTATTTGTTAAAGAGACTATTTATTAAAAACATCTACATGGGTGGATTTGGATGATTGGAACATCAGGACCCTTTGACGTTTCACACCAAAAATTTCTTTCCCTTTGGGGCTCAGTTTTTCCTTCACATGCATTCATACAATAGTTACAGTGTTGAGATTTCCCTTAACTGCAGTTTAACTGGGAGAGGGAACTTGCTCCTTCTTTCAGTCAAATGATACGAAGATCTAAGTTATATGAGGGTTTGATTCTGGTCAGAATAATAACCTTTTGCTTTAAAAGTGTAACCAAGTGTATACTTGTTGAAAACAAGTCATTAACTTATTTTTCTGTAAGAGCCATTGGGAACTTGTCCAGCTTCCTGGGAAGGACTGGTGGGGTTTTTATTTTTTTGTTAACTGGGAGAAGTTTCCCATCTTCCTTACCACATCCAGCTAGCCTGTTCTGGCCTGCTTTGGAAACTTGGGCCGGACTTGAAAAGACATCAGCTAGAGGCATTTATAAGCTGCGCATACCTCATCAGGGCTTGATGTAATTGCTGAGGTGAATCACCTTTGTCCACTCCTAGTGTATGAATGGATTTCTTTCCTTTTCAATTCCAATGAAAGCAATGGATATAAAGCCTTATAATTTGTTCCTAGTAAATCAAATGGATGGTAGGAGGGCCAAATTCCTATTCTGGTTAAAAAAAAAAAAAAAAAAAAGGTTTTGGCTATTGCAATTTAATCATCATCCTGATTATCTTATTTTTCACATAGACACTTTCTTGAATTATTGAGTGTTTTAGGAACAACACTGATAGTAACAATGTGTGATGAATAACATTGCATATCCTAGATGATGTTAAAAAATGTAGATTTGGTTGATATCAGTAGAGGTGGAGCTGAGTTTCTGGAATTCAAACATGTACTGGAGATAGAGAAGCTGTATTTTAAACTAATACAGAGAATGAAACTTCTCCCCAAACTAATACATGCTGGACATATTACAGAACATGTTCAGTCTTTGATAAAATTACTCTTAAGATAAATGGGAACTTTGCAGTGCTCTATAGTGACATTTATTGCTATATGAGATTCTGAATTGGAGATATAGCTGCTTGTTAAGGGCAAACAAAATAAAAGCAATCATTTAAGCTGTTCTCAGGAAAGGAAGTTGCTGGCTGTACCCAGACTCTAAAATGAAATTCTGCTGCAGCACATGATCTTATTTTTGGCCTTGTAGAAAGTTGTATTCTTATTCTTTGGCCAAAATTTAACTAGTATACATTTTTCTCACTGAAGTGATTTGTAATCCTTCCATAAAGGAGAATATTGTCCAAATGTGGCATTTCTGTTATTTATGTGATTGGAAAAAGCAGGAAATACAATCTTTACTTTTATTGTGTATTTACCTACAGTAGACTTAAAATGGAAACCATTCCGTGAGCCTGTTTATAAGGCATGAAGTTACTTTTGTTTTGCTTAACCAAATGGCGAAAACACTGCCAGCAGTATGTCTGGAATGTTATTTACTTGGTCCATTTCTGTGGTTTTTCTTTGTAGCACTGTACACATGCCACAGTTAGGGGCCATTTACTTACAACTGACCAAAGTAATACCCCCTGAAGCTGCAGTTATTCTTCTCATCAGGGGCTTTATAATAAAAGGTTCATCATGTTCTGCAGCTTCTGTGCTTGCACTTTCCCCCCTCTCTCTCCCTCCCTCCTCTTAATCAGAATTGCTTTTGGTGAAGATTTGGAGAGCTGCTGTTTTTTCTTGCTTTGTTCTCTGTGACTTGATTTGTCTGTTAGTGTTTTAATTTCTTGCACTGTTTCTTACAATGCCAGCTGATTGAAATGTATTAATTTGTTTTGCTGGATGACTATTATTATTTTATAAGGAGATGGTTATTGAGTATGTTTTTCTATTTAAGTGTGTATCATATTTTACGGTCTCAGTTCCAGACATTCAACTGGTTGCAAGAAAACTGTGGGTGTTTTAACATTTCCAACGGAAGGGTAGGGTGGGTGGGGAAGCTCTTTGGAACGCTGACGAATAATATTTGACTCTTGGAAATGTCTTAAGGCCATGTGCTCTCCTCCCATGCTTGGAAGCCTAGACTTAGTTTTAAAGGCCTGTGGTCTTAAAGGTATTACCATTATGCTTTATTTCCTTTCTAACTGTCTGGAGTTGAGAAAAGAGTTGAAATGCAGATTATGGCTGCCAAGGGTTAGTGCAAGAATACTCTGCAGATGGTGGTCTTGGTTTGTGCCCTTGCTACTCCCATCTGTGGCACGGTGCCCCATTAATCCCTTGCATGTTAGTCAGAGGGCTTAATTCTGCTACTTTTCTTTCCTAGATGTACTTAACTTCAAAAATTATGTAACTTTTGAGACGTTAATGTCTGTGATGTCAACAAGCACAGCAGAAATTGCCTTACAGCAGAACATGAGTTGGTAACTGCAGTAACTTGCAATTCAGTGTGTTTTCAATAGCAGAGCAATTCATAACAGTTTTTACCCCCAATTTCTTCTTATACTACTTGAGTGCAAAGCAGAGTAGATACAGATTGGGTTGTTCTCCCCTGTTGTGAAAAGCAAATATTTAGTGAATATAAAGTCTCCTCACTTCTGTGCTTATGGTATAAAGGATGTTCTTCCTCTGCATTTGCAGATCAGTTCATCTCATAAGATGGTATCTTTTTAGCTTGGTTTAAGTTTTAACAAGCGTATGTGCTTTACTATACATGGCTCTTGTTGCTTTTGCATAGTGATTTGTTTTCTTTATAAAATGTTTTATTTTTTTCCAGCTTTGATCATTTGACTGATAAATACTTGCTGCCTATATTCATGCCTGCTCATCTTTTATTACCCTGGCTTATATATAAATGCTTCTATTTAAATAAATCAGTCTTGTAATCTGAAAAATATAAAACTTTGGTTTAAGTTACTTCTTACAGGTAATAGCTGTTTGGCGGTTGAATACAAAACAACTGCTTGGCAGAATTTTAGTTTGACTCTCTGCCAACCAGCAATAAAGGACAACCTAATTCCTAAATATGCCTGAGCTATAAAGTATCAGTCATGACCTAGCATGCATATAGTAATAACAGGCTGACAAGGCTAATAAAGCCTATACATTATTATGGCCATGCAAAGCATGTTATAACATAATGTATTTTGTCACTCATTCCTATTGTGCAGCCCACACATCATCTTCCTGTCACAGAGTGTATTACCGGGAGGGAGCCATCTCTGTGGAACACGTCTGTGCCATGAAATTGCTCATGCTTGGTTTGGACTGGCCATTGGAGCTCGTGATTGGACTGAAGAGTGGATAAGTGAAGGGTTTGCCACTTTTTTAGAAGATATATTTTGGGCTAGGGCACAACAGGTAAGGTGATGATACATCACTTCTCAACTGAATTATGTCACAATCAAAATTATATACCCTGCTGTGAATTAGATATAAATTAATCCTCCTGTGTTATGAAGATAGGTCTTTTAAAATAATATTGGAATTTGCATGACAACTTGATTATAAAAAAAATAAAAAATCCTTCCTGATCCACAAGGAACACTGTTCTTTACAGAGGTAGAGGTCAGTGCAAACGAGACTAGACACATCTGTGTGTCAACAATTACCTTCCCACAAATGTATTACTCAGTTATTACAGTTCACCTATCAAACAGTTGCTCTGCATTCTTTCCACTTGTATTGTGTTCTTGAAACTCGAATAATCAGCAGTCTTACTGAATATTGTAATATTCCAGGTACCTAATGAAAGTGGCCTGGTTTTGTCCAGTGGACAGTCAAGAAGTGTACCTCAAAACAAAATAGAAGCTGATGAAATAGGGCACCAGCACTTATACTTTTCTCTCTAATACTGTCCAGCAAGACTTACCCTCATGTCAGAGGCTTAGCTTTATCTGCCTTAAAGTGAAAAGCTCATAAATTTCACGTCAGCTAGTAAAGTCGTTTTCTGATCCAATTCTTATTTTTGTTGTACCTCTGCTACTTCAGGCATTTCATGTGTTAAGTCATTTCTTCCTGTGCTTGTGTCAGACCCTGATTTTACCCCTCAAGTCTGCAGAGCCCCATCTGTGGAAGAGCCGGTGGGACTGGGAACTGACATGGTACGCTCTTCTGAGCCTCCATTTTATTAAGTATCAGGCATATTTATAGCACTGAACAAACCAGAATTCTTTGTCACTTACCATGTTTCTGGAACAAGAAAGAGAGGAAGGCTGTCCACACACTTTGCTTTTCACTTCTGGTCCTAAAACTCATTTCTGCCCTTACACTGAGCATCAGTCCTCTGCTGTGAGCAGTTCACATTAATTCTACGCTTTTGTGAGTCACTTGAAAGCATTTTCATTGTAGTAGACACCCTTCCATGTAGCTGAATGGAAAGGAGTAAGGAACAAAACAGGGTGATTAGTGCCCTTGTTAATTTATAAGGTCAGAAAATGTATTATTGCTTTTTCTTTTTTTCTTTTTAGAATTTATGAGTAGTTTTGGTGCTGTGCAATCATACAATTATAGGATTCTAAGTATATTCCATAGTGTCTGACAATAATTTCATGTGACTGAAATATTGGCGTAATGCAGGATAATATTAGCTGCTGCTGCTTTCTCCCATCTCCCATCTTTTCTTATAATAGAGAAGCATAAATGAGTTGTTATTTGTAAGCTGACAACCTGACATTTATTTCATAAGCATGCATCTCTGTTAATATTACATGAATGGGGGAAAATACAACAGGGAGCTTTCACAAGTGTGTCAGAAGTAGTAGGAAAAAGGAGTGAAGTCAAGACACAAAGCAGCTCTTTGCTTTCAAGGCTGGGAAGAGTACAGATGCAACCAGAACTAATATGCCAGGTATCTGTACTGTACATTCAGTTCACTTATTGCCAGTCACTAAAGGGAAAACAACATGCCCATCTCCCTCCCCTCAGACAGAAATACTTAACTGACTATTGATTTGATGCACACAGCGAGGCTTCTTGTTTTCCTTAGTGCTGCTGTTAACTCTTATAGCAGCAACTGGGGTTTTCTTGGTTTGGTTTTTTGGTTTTTTTTATCATGGATATTGATACTGCTTCCTGTACCTTCTGCGTGTTAAAGGGAAACAAAACAATTTTCTCTTTCTGAAAATTATTATTGTCTGTTGGGAAACAGCAATCAGTGATCTGTGTTTTTTGTACGCTAAGCAGTTATCACATGATGAAATCAAGGGGCAGCAGGGATTGAAAGCTTTACTTCGCTGGCGACGACTCAGAGATGAGGTGCAGAACTCTGAAGAAGAGCTGCAAGTTTTAAGGTAACAATATGACAGTGTAATCTTTGCTTTTGCATGTTCTCTCTCTCGTTTTCCACCATTTTCTCCCTTCAAAGGATATGCATCCAAATAATCTGATTAAATCCACTGCATTTCCTTATTTCCTTCTGAAGAAAAAAGAGAAGTCAAATTAAATTGACTAGGTTATTCATATTCTGTACAATGCCATTGCTTTTCTCTTTGTTATAGAAAGCTTTAAAAAAAAATGGGATTTAGTTTGGTGTAAAATGTCTTTAAGCAGTTTGCAAGAGCCTCTATTCAGGGAAAAAAAAAAAGGCCATTTCCTGAACAAAGTTCGCTGTTTGAAGCCGTAACAGATTCACTTTCTGTGGCTGAAGACAAGCACATACAGGAGTATGGTATCTAACTGCCAAGCTGAATGAAGCTTTAAAAAACAAAGGAAAAAGCATGATGAACTATATAAATCTACTTTATCTTTAGAAACTACTAATAATGCTATTTAAACAAGATTTTGGTCTTTATGTACCAGATTGCTGAGCTCAAGGCTTCTTCTTACATAGTTAAAGACATTATATCAAAAAAAGATTCTTGCTTTGCTAGTGATTAATAATCTGAGTTGTTCTGATTGGTGTCTTGGGAATTTGCCATAGTCTTTTATCTTGAGTGGCTACCTAACATCTCTACTGCTTGTATCCCCACAGTCTTTGACCAAGAAAAACAAGTTTACTAATCCTAACTCAAATTAGCCCTACACTGACCAAATCACGGAAGTACAGGGACAGATTTCAAGAGATTATGTAGACCATTCTCCTACCCTGAAATACAGGCAGTATACACAGACCATCTTAAGCAGTTTTTTGCTAACATGCTCTTAGAAACCTCCAATAAAAAAGTTTCCACAGCACCTAGTTAAGCTGTTTCAGAGTTAACAGTTAAAAATTGCTTCCTAATGCACAGCTGAAATACTGTTTATTTCAAACAATGTAGATTTCTTTTCTTTCACCAAGTGGAAGTGAAGAACAAATGTCGTCTATATAATCAACTTCTAAATATTTTTGGAAGACTGTTGCCATTTCATTTATTTTGAGGTCTTCCCTTCTTTTTGTGCTTTCCCAGTAGGACCTAAAAGCCTTTTATATTTGGGCACTGTTCACCAACATAGAAATTCCTCTTTGTGGCCTCATGTCACCTGAAAATGTGTCACCAACTTTGCTTAACTGTAGTCTTTCATTGATCTGTTTTACTTCATGTTTATTGAATTGTGTATCCTACGTGCAAGCAGAGTCAGTGAAGTTACGTATTTGCAAGTGTGCAATTTGGTGATAGGTGTAAAAACAAAAGCAAGCCTTATCACTAGCTGTCTTACAGCTGCTACCAACACAACTACTGATTGACAGAAGCTGGTATTTTTGTTTGTTTGTTTTAAAATAATTTTTTTTTAGGAACATTGGTTCTTGTTATATGAAGCTTATATGGATGTATAGTTCACTATTCAACATTATGGAGTCGCATTTGTCATCTTTTGAGTTAATTGTGTAGCTGTTACTTTTAATAAAATGTGTATGTGGTGTAAATTTTTAAAATAATTTTTCGAAGGGCCAAAATATCCTTTGTAGTTTGAAACTCAGGAAGGACTGATTTATTTCGAAATTGAAACTTAAGCTTTATATTGACTTCCATAGTTAGTAGACATAAGTCTCTGTGATAAGCATGCTGCTTACCTTTTGCATAGTGGTATTCTCAATGCTAATACAAAAGAATGACAAATCATTTCTTGTTTGAAAACTATGCCTCTAATATACACTTCAGGAGAGGAACATGATGCCAGCTTGGGATTCTGGCAATCTCTTCCTCTCTGGTATCTCTAGTTTCCTGTGGTTGCATTTAAGGACTTTCCACTGATTTCAGACAGATGTAAATATTCTCTACTATTTTTGTGGCATGTACTTGAGTAGGTTCTCTCTTTGCATGTTTACTGGGTTTTTTTTTTTTCCTTTTCTTCTTCCTTCTGAAGGTATGTCTTTGTGCTTTCCAGAGTTGTTATGTACAAGAGAAAATTTCAGTCTTGGCATTGCACTGGGTTTTGAGTCTGTGCTGAGGCTTTTACTGGTTCAGGCTTGTGTTTTTACACAAGGATATTAAAATTAAATGATAAGTGTTTGCTATATCTTGCCAGTTATGTCAGGAAGAAAAAAATCAGCCAACGCACTCTTCTAAGCTTATTCTTCAATTACTTTTTTGTTCCCTGCTGGACAATCATATGATTTTCTGTGCTTTCTCCTGACAGCAGGAAAACCCTGCCTAAAACTTGTCAGCTGATGCTATTAACTTTTGAATCCAGCAAGCGAATATGTGGTCAGACTAGGTGAAAGCCACCCAGCAAACTGATCATCAGCATGATGTTTCTCCTTATTATGGATATTTGATATTATGTTATAGTAGCATCTCATAAGTTACCTGTGAAAAAAGAAGTCAGGTGTGAAAGAAATAGCTAAGTGTCTTTTCAGTGGGCAGAAGCTCTGCAAGGCAGCACCAGCAAACCCTAACATTGAAGAAGGAATTTATGGCACTGTAGTGCGCATGCAGGATAAGACTTCAGACAGAATCCTGTGTATTTTCTCAGAGTTTGAAGCAAACCTGCAGGGATAAAAGCACATGTGAAATATGTCCTGGCACTCATTCTGCTGGCATGCATCAACACCAGCACTTGCATCTAGTCTCTCATGTTATGAAAGCAAAGAAGACTAGAGGAGTCCATTTTCTTCCATGGAATAAAGCTGGTGTTGAGATTGTTTCATATCCTGGCCCTTATGAAAGAACTTCAGCTTGTGATTCTTCATTAAGACAAACCAGTGTTGATATCTAATTCAAAATTTGTCTCTGAGTCCCACTTGAATCAAGTCCATTTCCTTCCTGAAGCAATGCTCTCTGACTGCTCTGTAGGTGTTTACAGAGTTTTATTCTATCACACTGATAGGAAACATGCCTTTCAGATGGTCTTTCATGGTCTTTCCATAGGTTTTCATGAGTACATAGTGCATCAGAGCATTTAATTACCAAGGACTTCTGGTGAATTGTACTTTTACTTTGTACAATGTACTTCTCCACCCAGCAAACAAAAAGCAGCATCTTTTGCTTCATTCCGAAATTTGCCAATATTGAAAATGTGCCAGGTAGCAGCTTGAATGCCTTGAATCAGCTTGCCTTTAGCATTATGCCTAGCTTCATCAACTAGGTTACATGCCAGGTTTTGTAGGTCAGTGTAACAAACTTTCAGTCTCTGTAGCTTCAATGTATTATGAATATACTAAGCATTGCTGTCAAATAGTGTGCTGAAGTACTGACAGCAAAGAACAGGGTAACTTTCTGAATATTTACACTCTTTTGCAGACATTATCAGGGGTATATATACATCCTTTGCAAAAGGAAATTCTTCAGTACCATCATCCAGATAGGATACTGCTTTCTAATCACCTACTAGGCACAAAGTTGAAGGAGGAAGGAAGGAAGTATGGTTGCCTAATTTAGAATAATTGTGATTATGGGAGGTATTTCAGTTTAGTGTGGATCCTGTAGCCTGGGCTCAAACGCCATTTTTCAAAGTCTATAGACTGGGCTATTTATTATGAGAGAAATGAAGCAGCTTTGGCTGTTTATATATGCAGAGAACAATGAAAAGTCGCGTCTGGAATGCCAGCAGGCCTTCCTTCCAGGAGACATCCAGAATGGAAATAGGTGGACCTCTGCTCTTCTACAGTGGGTCTGCAATGGTTAGGTTGCCTTGAAGAACTGGAGTTACCATTGGATAAGAAATCAGTTACACATCTTCACCTTTCAATGTTGAAGGAAGATCTTCATTGAAAGAAAATGTGAACTCTAGCACGGTAAAGGACTGTGTTAGGAACAGGTAAAATTGAATCTGCATTTTGTTTTTCTATTTTATTTCAAACAGTTATATTTTATCAAGACTTCACTCTGCGAACTGCATTTCATGTGTGCATGTCCTAAATATAGTGCCTAAAGGGTGAAAAAAGCCAGCTTAGCGCTCTGGACAAAACTCTGATAAGAAACCATTACACAGGTACAAAAAAGGAAGAATATTTTCCTCAAAGCAGATGTAGATATGAAAGAAATTTGATCACAGGGATAGCTCATGAGAAGTGTGTGAGTGATGTGGTTTGAAGACTCCTGCACTGCTGTGGCCTGTGTTGTCCCTATTCTGTAGAAGTGGGGGGAAAGATACTTGGTTTCCAAGACTGGCCATTTCAAAATCCACACTTAGAATTGTAGAGGTTGTTTCAGTCACAGGGTTAGGCTCCTAAGAGAGACATCTGTTCTCAGATCACTGTTAGCTGGGATGTTTTCTGGATGAAAGAAAAAAAGCTAGAGGGCTCTTCAGTGCTATGCCTGTGAATGCACTGCTTACAAATGAAGAAAAAATGTTTGCATAGCTTCTGTTTAGTTTCACTCTGTGCTCATAAGAGCCTAGAAGTCCTCCAGACTTTACTGCTGTAGATTTCTGGCATACCAGGTGCTGTATTACATTTTAAAATCAGGCAGTGAAGGAGTAGGTTTGTTCTAGACATTATTGTCTTTAAACCCCAAACCTGTGTGTGCGCGAAATGCTTGTTCTTTTAAAACTTCAGGTACTTTTCTTCCAACCCCAAATGGCAAAAAATGAAAACCATAATATTATTTCTGCTGCAGTGTATTGCATGCAGATGAAAGAGATTATTATTGGTAATATAGTTGTGTAAGCCATTAAGCCAATGTTCAGGTATAAGAAGAGAAATGTCTAGGTGAACATAATGACCCCTTTCCCTCCTCTCCTCTCCCCTTCCCTCCCCTTCCTTTTTGTTTAAAATGTCTTTTTTTGTTTGTTTCTCTTTGTTCATAATGTGTCTATGCACTGTAGAATGGCATGCAACCTTATGTGGTGCTGGCAGTGAAAAGAGTACACCAACTTAGTGATGGATTTCATTTGTACCCCAGCTGCCTGGTCAGCTATGTACAAAATTGCATTAGAAGTATGAAATTTGTTTGTTTGTTTGTTCATCTGTCTAAGCCAAGTTGTTTACTTAGGGTAAAGAAAAACACTGAACTAGTCACAGGTGTCTAAAGTTACTATGTCATTCACACTGCCTTCAACTGTGAGAACATGTAATGTATGAGTTCTTTCTTTACTTACTTATCCAAGACTTAATTAGTGTGTTACCATTTCAGGCCCAAAAAGGAGAGCACAGGGGAATTGAGTGAGTCTGGAGCATCTGTTGTCAAACACGGTCTTAAAGCAGAAAAAATATTCATGCAGGTTCACTATTTGAAGGTGAGTGTTGTCAGCTGCTGATTTTATTGAAATTGCTTTATTAATATGATAAAGACTTCTTCCATCAGCAAAGTCATAGCATCCTATTTGTTTCTGGCTTAATTTCTTGCAGGGTTATTTCCTTTTGCGGTTTCTGGCAAGGACAATAGGAGAGGCTTCATACCTTGCATCTTTACGAAAATTTGTCCATAAGTTCCATGGGCAGCTTGTCCTTTCTCAGGTACTGTGCTTGGAGTTGTTCCTCCCTGAAAAAACAAATGATCTAAACTTTTGGTTTGGCTATCTAAATCGCCGCTTCTGATTGTGGTGAAAAGAGAGGGGCAATTGTAACTTGGCAATATTGGTGAAATTCCTACCTGCTAGAGGGCAGAACATTTTTTTCAGGGTGATACATAAATCGGACACCCTGCCAGTATCTGATAATGTAAACAATGGGTGATCTTTTGTTTTTTTTTTTTTAAACTTGATACTTTGAAAGTTCAATGTTCATATGTGCTGATGTTCTCAAAGATAAGGTCATTTATTGTACTGGAATTGCCTCCTGTAGTCTTTTAGCTCATGGATTTTGGCTGTGCTCAGTCAGTCTTTTCCCTGATACTTCTCTGTTTCTGATAGAGAAGAAACACAGAATAGGAATGTGACTGAAAACTTCTATAAATCGTAACAGTGCATGCACGTTATATTTCTAACTTTATTTCCTTCCTCTCTGCATGCTGCTTCATTCAATGTTTATAATTTCACAGTCTTTTTTATGAGGATGGTCTCTCACCAACTCAGACAGTGATGTCCCCATTACTATGTGACATTGCACCCACAGGTATTACAGTATTGTCACAGCCTCTGTATAGGTTTCCTTATCACGGTCCCTACTCCTACGCTTTCTAAAACATTCTGTAACTGAAGTATTAATCTAAAAGGGGTGATTAAGATGTGCTGCTTCTTTCTTTCACTAGACTTTCTCTGACAGTGATACAATGCAATGGCAGCCCACTCTTAAGAGCAGTTGTTCTCATAGAACAGGATTTCTTACTGGATTGGTGAAGGCTTGGTTGTAAAAAATAGTGTTGAATTAAGAATCAGTATCTGCCCTCCCTAAGACCCACTGCATATATTGATCACTTGAACTACAGACTTACCTTGTTCTCTTGCTGGCCTAAATTGTGTGTAAGTCTTCCACGCAAAGTAGAACAGCATCAAAAGGAAAGATTGAGCAAATCACACCATCGTATATTGTACCATCTGTTAAGTAGAGAACCCACCTGGGATTATAAATAGAAATTTACCTCCCCCTAGGTCTTTCCAAAAGAGTCCTGTAACCACTGGCTGTAGAGCATTAAAAGGGGGACAGTCTTTTCCTCCAGTGTTTCGTTTTGAGAAGGGAATGACATTGCTCTCCAAACCAAAGTTCTAGGAAATCCGTCATTGGTGATGAATCTAGCTTGCACCATGGCACTGCAGCTTGTTGCTTCTGTAATGCTGTGAAGACAACCATTCATGGGGATGTCTGTGAACCAGGTCACTGAACTCATCATGGTTAAAAGCAGGCCTGGAACAAAAGGCACAACATGACAAGTAGTTGGCATCACTAGAAGAGCAGTGTGATGAGAGTGAGGAGCAGGGGAAGAGAGAAGAGAAGGGGTATGAATGAATTTCTGAAACCAGTTTCTTTGCTGAAGTCTGTCTTTTCTGGAGTTATGGTTGAAGTCTTTGAGGGGATTCAGGATGGTGATAAACATCTCCTTGCAACACAGTAAGGGCCTCTGATTTTGAGAGAATGAGGTCTAACACTTTACTGTTTCTTCCAGCCACAGTGATTCTTTGCCCATGCACTTGCTGTTTTGAATCTCACTCTTATGGGGTGAGATGTATGCCCATCTTACAAATAGCTCACAGACCTTTGGATTCTTTTGTATGTCAAGTCACCCAAAAGTCAGGCATAGTAGCTCTACTGCAGCAGCTCTGCCCTGTGGAGGAACGTTTGGGGTGTTAGAGGAGTTAATATTTCCACTGCTGCAGCTGTTTTACTGTACCATGTTACTGAGACCCTGAGCAGTTACATCTGGCATAGTGTGGAAAATGCTGGTGACTATATGAGCCTTGTCTACATTGTGGAGTCCAAAATCATAATATGATGCTTCACTATTACACAACTGGAAACTTCTTGAAAATTACAGAAATCATGAAACTGCTAAAAATACAAAGCAGCCCAGTGTTTTAATCTGGTGGTAAGAAAGGTGCTCTCATTTTGGTGAGAAAAAGTTAGCTTGTTGCTCCCTGTTGAGGTGAGATGAGTTGTGTCCGTAGACTGTTTAAATGCTGCAAAATGTCTTAGCACATTATACTGTTAGTCATGATTGCATTGTAATTGAACTACCCATCTACTAGAGACTTTTCCCTTTGTCCAGCACTCTGCTGTGAAGTGTCAATTTGTAGCTTATCTAACTCCACTATCATAAGATGGAATACTGTATGTTATTTCTGCAACCAGAAACAACCGTTTTGGTTACTGCATGAAAAATTGTTCAGTGTTTTTAATTATTCAAGCAAGAGTAAGTGATGTTTTTATTTCAGGTTTCTTAGGCTACTTTTTATTTGAATATGTGCAGTATGTCCATAGCTATGTGTTAATGTAGGCCAGAAAAAGATACTGTCCTTCATTTGAAGATACTTGATTTAGTGGAGAAAGAGCTGTGTATTATATAACTTCTATTGTGTGCTTTTTGTGCTTTTACCTTGTTTCCCAGCAGCCTAAATCCAGCTCCCATTGAAGTTGCTGGAAAGAGAGTTTTAACATCATGCTGTTGTGTGGTCACTATGTTAAAAATGGAAAGGGAATAGGGCTATATCCAATTGTAAATGCAATTACTTTCTTTGTAAGAAACCTTAAAGATTGTATTTATGTCAGTGTCTGATATGGGTAGATAAGCAATCACAGCAGGAAATGCAAATGCAGAAGCAAA